GCCGATCTCGAATCTGCCTTTTATGTCAAAGATATTAGAAAAAGCAGTATCTTCACAACTGTGTTCCTTTCTAGAAAGAAATGATATCTGCGAGGATTTTCAGTCCAGATTTAGACCGTACCATAGTACTGAGACTGCTCTCATTAGAGTCACAAATGATTTGCTCTTATCATCCGATCGTGGTTGTATCTCTCTATTAGTGTTACTTGATCTTAGTGCTGCATTTGACACAATTGACCACAACATTCTTTTAAATAGACTAGAAAACTATGTTGGCATTAGTGGAATTGCACTAGCATGGTTTAAATCATACTTAACTGACCGTTATCAGTTTGTAGCAGTAAATGAAGAGATGTCTTATCGATCACAAGTTCAGTATGGCGTACCACAAGGCTCAGTACTAGGACCGTTGCTGTTCACTCTGTACATGCTACCATAAGGAGATATCATTAGGAAACATGGAGTTAGCTTTCACTGTTATGCCGATGATACTCAGCTGTATATTTCTTCAAAACCTAACGAAACTTATCAATTCACAAAATTAACGGAATGCATAGCTGATATAAAAAATTGGATGACTAGTAATTTCCTACTACTAAATTCTGAAAAGACAGAGATTCTAATTATTGGACAAAAAACTTCCACACGTAATAACCTAGAATACGGTCTAACACTTGATGGCTGCTCTGTTAAGTCTTCGTTGTCAGTTAGGAACCTGGGTGTGCTCTTTGATACCAACCTTTCTTTTGAAAGTCACGAGTCTAGTATCTGTAAAACTGCATTTTTCCATCTTAAAATTATATCTAAAATACGCCATATGCTCTCATTGGGAAATGCGGAAGAATTAGTTCATGCGTTCATGACCTCAAGGCTAGACTATTGTAATGCTCTACTGGGTGGTTGCCCAGCACGCTTAATAAATAAACTACAGCTAGTTCAAAACGCAGCAGCTCGAGTTCTTACCAGAACCAGGAAATATGACCATATTATCCCGGTTCTGTCAACACTGCATTGGCTCCCTATTAAACATCGTATAAATTTTAAAATATTGTTGATTACTTACAAAGCATTACATGGTTTAGCTCCGCAGTACTTGAGCGAGCTTTTAAAGCATTATAGTCCTTCATGTCTATTGCCATCTCGAAATTCCGGCCAGTTGATAATATCTAAAATATCAAAATCGACTGCTGGCGGTAGATCCTTTTCCTATTTATCACCAAAACTTTGGAACAGTCTTCCTACCATTGTCCGGCAAGCAGACACACTCTGTCAGTTCAAAGCTAGACTAAAAACACATCTCTTTGACCTAGCATACACATAATACATTATAGACTTCTATAATTCAATGTTAGGCTGCATGGATTAGGTCAGCCGGAACTGGGAACACTTCCCTTAAATCTTGATGTACTTGTTACATCATAAGAAGAATCTGGCATCTACGCTAATATTAGTGTCTTTGTTTATCCCGAGGTTTTCCCGCAGCCTGCCGGATCCAGGCCGTATCCAGATCTGACGAAGGAGATTCGCCTGGACCCGATCTACAGATAAAGCGTTGTGAATTTCGGTTCGCGTACCCCGAAGTGATCAAATAAAACAAAATTCTGTATCAAAATTTATAGGCAAGACAAGTAGTTTGTTTAGGCATGGGTTGTATGGAATTACAAACCTGCGCACATATTTTCAAAAGCACATAACTATAGAATCAATTCTGAATGTGCATGTAAACGCCGTCAGCGTTAATCACAGGTTCGCGTTTAAAGTCTGATCATTTCGACGGAGGTGAATCAATCAAAATTAACTTTAGCTGGAAATAACATTATTCAAGAACCGCTATAAAGCCAAAACAATCTCTGTTACCTTAAATTATGTTTATCTCTGTAAAGCTGCTTTGAAACAATCCATTGTTAAAAGCGCTATATAAACGAAGATGACTTGACTTGACACTCAATAACCACACTTTTTTTATGATCTAAGAAACAGCCATTCACCCAAGTTATATATTAAAACAACATCAAAACACAAAATATAAATTTTCTGATCATAGGCAGAGGGTGAACAATGAGGATGCGCTTCCCCTTTAAAAACATTTACTATATGCAGGATTTGGCATGGCAGAAAGCTAGCAAAGAGCGCTCATTTTATTATCATTAAATAGATCTCACAAAGTTCCATTATAAACAGCGAAGCTGATGCACAATGAATGCCTTATTTACATAACTGCTTATTATAACAAGAGGATTTGCGCGTATGTAGAACTCAGAATCCACTCACCACTCAAAACACCAGAGTTTCGACCATATTCTTTAATTACGGAGAAAACTGATCCTAGACCAGCATTTATGGACCGCTTTTCCATCTAAAAGCAATCAAAAGCATATAAAAGCTTGTTTCCGCCACGTAATCAATTTTTTTAAAGATAGGCAAATTGCGACTTTTTATCTCACAATTCAGCCATTTTCTCACAATTGTGAGTTTATCTCACAATTCTGACTTTATAACACGCAATTGCGATTGTAGCCTATATCATGTAACTTTGACTTTATAACTTGCAATATGAGTTTATATCTCAATAAGCAATTCTGAGAAAAAATACCTTTATTTATTTATTTACATATTTATAATATATTTATTCACACAGTGTGGAAACAAGATTACATAGTAGCAGCAGCAGGCAATTGAATGAGAAAATTTGACACTAGAAGTCCGTGGCCAGGGATAAGCCTTGCCCATTGTTCCTTGCCCACAGAGACAGCGCTCATAAAGATAATAAACGATATTCGCTTAAATACTGATACAGGCAAATTATCAGTGCTGGTACTACTCAACCTCAGTGCTGCATTTGACACTGTCAATCATAACATACTTCTTGACAGGCTGGAAAACTGGGTGGGGCTTTCTGGGATAGTCCTAAAATGGTTCAGGTCATACTTAGAAGGGAGAGGTTATTATGTGAGTATAGGAGACCATAAGTCTGAGTGGACATCCATGACATGCGGAGTCCCTCAAGGCTCAATTCTTGCGCCACTCCTATTCAACCTGTATATGCTCCCAATGAGCCAAATAATGAAAAAGAACCAAATTGCTTACCACAGCTATGCAGATGACACACAGATCTACTTAGCCCTATCGCCTAATGATTACAGCCCCATTGACTCCCTGTGCCAATGCATTGATGAAGTAAACAGTTGGATGTGCCAAAATTTTCTTCAGTTAAACAAAGACAAAACTGAATTCATTGCGTTTGGAAACAAAGATGAAGTTCTCAAGGTGAACGCATACATTCACTCTAGGGGTCAAACAACTAAAAATCAAGTCAGGAATCTTGGTGTGTCACTAGAGTCAGACCTTAGTTCCAGTAGTCATGTCAAAGCAATAACTAAATCAGCATACTATCATCTGAAAAATATTGCAAGAATTAGATGCTTTGTTTACAGTCAAGACTTAGAGAAACTTGTGCATGCTTTCATCACCAGCAGGGTGGATTATTGTAATGGACTCCTTTCTGGCCTTCCTAAAAAGACCATAAGACAGTTGCAGCTCAGAACGCAGCTGCCAGGATTCTGAGCAGAACCAGAAAATATGGACATATCACACCAGTCCTCAGGTCTTTAAACTGGCTCCCAGTTACATTTAGGGTTGATTTTAAAGTATCATTACCGGTATCATTCAATGGGCTAGGACCTCAATATATTGCAGATATGCTCACTGAATATAAACCTAACAGATCACTCAGATCATTAGGATCAAATCAGCTAGAAATACCAAGGGTTCACTCTAAGCATGGAGAGTCTGTTTTTAGCTATTATGCTAGCCGCAGCTGGAACCAGCTTCCAGAGGTGCTCCTACAGTAGTCACATTCAAATCCAGACTCAAAACACATCTGTTTAGCTGTGCATTTACTGAATGAGCACAGTGCCACTTTTCGTCCGACTGTTTGTACTGTATTTTTTTTATTTATTCTAAACTGTTTTAATTATTCTTATTTATTTTGATTATTTTAATTTCCTCTATGTAAAGCACTTTGAATTACCATTGTGTATGAAATGTGCTATAAACTTGCCTTGCCTTGCCATTGTCTATGATTAGGGGGGCACGTTGTGTAATTTTGGCAACGGGCCTGCTAAAATCCCTTTATCTAAACCTCTCTAACCATTGGTTGCGCTCATCCGCCATGTTTTGTAGTTTTCTGAACACTTTTTATCCGTGTTTGTAGTTCTGAACTGGATCCTCTTCCAAAGCGAAATGGGTTGTGGACCATATTAGCTGTTATAGTGAGCACAGATCCACACTTCGAAAATCCACCTGAAGTAGACCATCCGGGGACTCTTGGCATACTCTTCATACTGCCTTTGGGACAGACTTATTTTAATCTCACATACTGTTTAGGATGGATATATGGACATGAGATGCAGGGTACGTATCATTTCATTCGGACCGAATGCAATGATTGAACGAAAATTTTATGGTAATAGCTTCCACAGACGATATATATTTATAAAAATACATGTAGACCGTTTCACATAGTGATTGTCGGGATATGAGGAGATTTTCAACCAGCATTAACAAAATTCTGTAGAGAATCACCTATTGCACCTTTAAGTGTCCACAAACTTTAGGGTGCACTGTAGCTTGTTCAAAATTTTAGAGGGTGTTGTTGCGTTTATAATGGGGAATTGATGATGGGGGCGGGTGAAGGGGGGTTTCAAGCTCCTGTTAAACGTCATAACGCCGCGTTGGCTTTCCCTCCCCCAACCACACTGTATGAGCATTCGCTGGAAAAGTTTGGGGACACCATGAATGTATGGGGAATTTAACAACAACAAAAGGAGGACAACAGGAATACGGTTTATGCTGGAGTTAGTAGAACCTACATCTGACGTCTAAAAATGATCTCGAGGGAAACTGAAAGATCGTTTGAACCTTGAAATGTTAATGGTTCCCAGCTAATCCGCCTGGAAAGTTAGTTTTGTCCGAACGAAGGAGAAAAAACTACCGAGGAAATGGCGGAAACCAAAATAATATATCATATAGACGAGGAGGAGACGCCGTACCTGGTGAAGATTCCAATCTCTTCGGAAGAAATCACACTGTTGGACTTTAAACAAGTTCTCAATAAACCTAAGTATAAGTTCTTCTTCAAGTCCATGGATCAGGACTTCGGGTGAGTCGTGGACGTGAACGCGCATCCTCTTTTCAAGAGGCGATTGTATCAGATGGTAATTCCTAAGTATTTTGTATTTTGACAACAAACAACACGGTACATGTAAAAAAAAAAAAAAACGATTACTTTACCTGCTTCTGTACTGATTCATTACTATTTTAATTAATCATTGTATTTACATGGTTCTCAAAAATATTTAAAATAATACAGTGTATTCTATACACCGAATAGCCTACAGTAGTCTGTTATATAGCATACACAAAAATTAATATTCCAATACTATGATACTAGCATGTCTCATAATCTGTGTTAATATGGTTCCATGTGCAAACAACAGGCATGGAAAATATACTAAAGAGTACCATTGTTTTTGAACAACCATGATGGACCATGATACATGAATTGGAGTGCAATGGTATATGCCATAGTACCATGACATTACCATGTCATACCATCACTGCTCCATGGACCATGGTACAGCCATATACAGTTTTGTAAAGATGATATATCAACAAAAAAACAACAACAACATGGCATTAATTTAATGGTATAACGATACAATGTTCGAACCCCATACTTTTTTTTTATCACATTTTTTCTTTTATCACATTAATCACACGTGGCACCCATACAGAATTAGTGCTGAGATTTAATTTCACCCCAGTTTCTGCTAGTTTGGCAACTAAATGTTTAGGCTATTTCATTTTTTAGGTAATCTCAAAGTCTCTAAGAGTACAATTAAGGTGTGCAATGGCATGTCTGTAGTAGAAAAATCCCCTAAGTGGTTACTGTAACTAAAGTCCTAAATACACTTTGCTTAATGCCGCTTTAGAGCTGCTGTTGATTAGATCAGCACACACCAGTGATGCTGCTAATGTCGCAATCAGTTTCCCCTCTATCTACACAAACAAAGCCTGCAATGGTTATCGATATTTATTGACACGCACACATTTATATTTACATGAGAGAGAGAGAACCATGGTATCTGGTGCTGTCTCTATATGTATCTCAGTCTATTGTTAATGAGTAGAAGACTTGTGTTTCCAACATCCTTATAAGTCCTGTCTGTGAAATCCTGTCTTTTTATCTGTCCTTTGTGTTAGAAAGTCTTGTGTTAGAAAGTCTTGTGCCAAACTGGCTGTCTCCTCTCAGCAGCTTTGTGTCTAAATGCCCACCTCACATAAAAACCTGGGAGAAGCATGTGCTCCCTGTCCCTAACAGAGTAATCTGATTAAATCATAAAAGCTTTGATTTTTCTCTGCTTTCTCCTTTATGGTTGCTGTAATGTGCAAAGTGCTGAGAGTCATTAGTAAGGCCCTTTACACTCTACTTGTATAGTTCACTGTTCTTCTGCAGTGTATGACCTCTGTCTGACCTTGCTGTTCTCACTTAGATGCTTTCTCTTGCCTTGTTTACCCCTTACAGGACAACAGGCAATGTTTAGGAGCTCACTGACTGCACAGAAGTTTCTAGATGTGAATAAAGGGTGAATGTTCAATTACATTAAGTTTTATGTTTGTACTTTACATTTGTGTGGTCTGTCTTTAAAATTAAAATGGGTGGTTGATTTTCCTCTCTGATGTATCTGTCTGAAACTAATTTTAGGCATACAATAGAGTAAAAGCCGTAACACACCAAACCGACATTAAAGACTGTGTTCCTGCAGCACTTGCTTACCATTTTGTATAATGATCATGTTGATCACTGTTGATAAATGTTTCTCATCTCCAGGACTAAGTTTTATTGCTTCAAATAACAAAAGACATTACAGAACTTGTTCCGTACCTCAAATATTTGTGGAGTTTATGATTCAGTATTAAAAGGCATCTAGATCTTGAAAGAACAGCTGTAGTAATATCAGAGATTATCTTATAGGGAGATGAGAGGGTCTGTATCTTCTTTCCACTGGAGAAAGCATAACAGCTGACTTGGCCGATGTGAGGCACCATATTGGCAGTGACGTCAGTGCCCGCCGTTCAAAGTTTTAGAACAGTCAGTTACAGTTTACGTTAATCAGTTTCTTGTGGATTAGCGTGTTGGTCTTGTGAATATATGTTCTATATTTGGTCTTATATGGCTAGTAAACGTACAGTACGACTGCATTGTTTGTGGAATGTGCTTTACTGCGGAAAAAAAAGTGTGAAAATCTATCTGCAAATTACTAGTCACTGCAGGGTGCAAAAAAATTACATTTAAGATTACACTACAAACTTAATTGTAATTTAATATATATTTAATTCATTAAAATTATATTTTTTATATATACTTTTTTTTTACCATCATTCATTAAAAAGCGTTATATCATCATCATTAGGCACACAGCAGTCATAAATCATTACAATACAAGACTAACCTGACTCTAGAACATGGCAGCTATAGAAAGAACACATTTTTATTTTTTGTATTAAACAACATACAATATACATTTTTTTAAATTACTATTTACTTTTTTAAAAAATTTGTTTATGTATATTTGTGTTTGTAGTCATGTACATCTGGGCCCGAAACCGTTAACGTTTTGAAATGTACATTTTTTTTGCTTCATCGGAGGGGGATGAAACTTGGTGACTTTTGTTGTATTAGAGCCGTGTCCATGCACTTCGTAAATGTACGGGGTGCTAGAGACAGGCCGAACGGCAGGACGGTGTATTGATATACCTGACCGTCGAAGGCGAATCTCAAGAATGGCCTGTGACGGGGTATTATCTGAATCCGGAAATAGGCATCTTTCAGATCGAGAGAAATAAACCAGTCCCTCGGGCGAACATGCGCGAGGATTTTTCTGCTTGTAAGCATTTTGAACGGTCTTTTCATAAGCACTTCGTTCAAATGTCTCAGATCTAAGATGGGTCTGAGGGCTCCGTCCTTCTTGGGTACGAGGAAATAACGGCTGTAAAAGCCCGACTCACTCAGAGAAGGCGGTACCAATTATATAGCCCCTTTGCACAGCAGCTTCGCTATTTCTGCGCGGAGTAGATGTGCTACTTCCGCATTCACAGTTGTCGCGGTCCGTGCTTGACAGCGCGGGGGACGGCGAGTGAACTGTAGTGAATAGCCATGCCTTATTGTGCTCAGCACCCATTCTGAAACCCCTGGGATAGCTTCCCATGCTTTTATATGTGTAGCTAGGGGGCGAATGGTCTCCGGGTTCTGATCGCCGAGAAACTGAACCGGAGAAGTGGGCGTGGCGTGCTTGGAGGCAGCAGCTCGCTGACAGCTGTGACAGGCTGATATGTGTGTGGCGTCCCGATAGCCATGAATGGGGAGCGCACCTTTACCACTTTGTGATGCGCGAGCCGAGCCCTGGGCAGAGTGTTTATTAGGAAGAGTGAGCGCGTACTTACATGTAGGTTTGACGCCCCGATCGTTTTTGATGGGGAGCGTCTTATAATCGCCCTGCATTTTGTGACAACTCTTAAATGCATGGGCGGCGCTCGGGGAGAGGCATGTGTCAGTAAGCGTGAGCGCTCGTGGGCGGGCACGTGACTTACGTTCATAACCTGACTGATATGAGTCTTTAGAGGCCGTGTAACAGAGCGGGCAGAGAGTGGGCACAGACCTGTGGACACATTTCTTGTATTCAACACTCGAGCGGCTTTTGCCTGCTTTATGAGAGTGGGCTCTGTGAGTGACACGGGGAGTGTTGTGCTTGTGTGTAGGGGTGAACACTGGGGCGTGGGCACTTTCTCTACACTTAAAACACCATCGGCGTGAGCCGGATAACCAGAATTTATACTTATTTTTAGATTTCTCTGGGTCGCCGTGAAAACGGCGTTTGTGTGCAGGCGAGAGGGTAGTGTTACCGGCTCGTTGGCTGCTAAATGAACCACTGCAGTAGCCTGTAAAGAGGGGACTGACAGGGAAATGGGCTTCGACGGCGGTCCGGCCGCAGCGGGACTCAACCGTCTCTTTCTTCCTCTTGCAGTTGCTAGGAAGATTTCGCGTGCTCGGGCTTCAGCGCAATCTTCTGCCGAGGCCCTCTGGGGGGCGGCGGTCTGTGACGGCTGTCCGAGCGCGACCTAGGGCGGCCGCCCTGACGTCGCTGCGAAGGCTGGCTAGGCTGTGCTGGACGCTGAGTGGTGGCTCGTGCAGGCGGCTGGTCACGTGAGCGGCCTGTAGAGGAACTCGAGTGTCGAGGCAGAAAGAGGTTTATGGCCTGCGTGGTCTTCTGTACCTCGGAGAAACGGTCGACGATCCCGCTCACCGCTGGGCCGAAGAGACCAGTGGGGGAGAGAGGCGCGTTGAGGAAGGTGGTGCGCTCAGATTCCCTCATGTCAGCAAGCGTTAACCAAAGGTGCCTTGCCGTGACGGTTAACGTGGCCATAGACCTCCCGATGGCTTGAGCTGCGGTCTTGGTCGCGCGAAGTGAGAGATCTGTCGCGCTCCTCAAGTCAGTAACAACAGCTGGATCCCGGCCCTTCTCTTCCCATTCACGGAGGAGGTCGGCTTGCAGGATTTGAAGCACAGCCATCGAGTGCAGAGCGGATGCGGCCTGTCCGGCGGCGGTGTATGCGCGGCCGACAAGGCTCTGTGTGGCTCTGCAGGCTTTAGACGGGAGGGCAGACCTTGAGCGCCATCTCGCGGAGGGCGGACAAAGGTGCGCTGCGACCGCCTCTTCCACAGGAGGAATGGCAGAATATCCCCTCGCCGTCCACTTGGTAGAGCGAGGCGGAGACGTGGGACTGAAGCCTGGTGGAAAATGGTGAATTCCACGACTTAGCCAGTTCCGTGTGGAGTTCAGGCAGAAAAGGGGCGGACCTGGCTGTGGGCGCTTGACGGCGGAGACTCTTGAGATCACAGCCGTCGAGCCTGTTGGGTGCGGGCTCCTTCGGTGGCGACCACTCGAGCCCGAGTCGTTCGACAGCCTGAGACAGGAGGCGCATCAGCTCGGCGTCCACTCCAGCACGGGTCCGGCCTGATTCCTGGATCGAGGAGGAGGAGGAGCGTTGAGAGCCCGACCATTCCTCGCTGTCCGATGCCAGGACGGAACAGCAATCCCT